CATTATCACGGGGGAGGAACTGTTACATGAAGGATCGAGGTCTTATGATAATTTGTCAGGAGTTCTTGTGGTACTGTAACGGAGTTCGTCGGAAAACTTTTGGATATACTACAAAAACGCTCGTCAAAAATGGTCATTTTTATCTTTAAAAAGTCAGTAAGGGTGCTATATTTAATTGTAATGATTAAGTTTTTCTGACATCTTGTCTTATGTGTCACATACTTGTTCATAGTCTATATCATCATCGCCTTTGTTTAAAATCTGGTAGTTTTCTTCATCCTTTCCATTCATAATTACCTAATTATAAGGCAAACTTGCTAACATGAAACCCCGCCTAACAAATTTATGCCCGATTTTTTCAAATGTCAAGGAGTTCTTTTAATAACTCTGAAGATGTCCTTGGGATAATATTTGTTACGCCTGCGTGTTTCTTGTTCTAAATCACGGCACGTTGTAGCGTGTTTTTGTTTTGTTTTTGTTTTTTTGTTGTTTTTTTTTGTTATTTAATAAGATTGTTACTCATTCTTTGCACAAAAATGAGGATATATTTTGTTGGTTTTATTTTAATTTTATTATCAATTATAAGTTTTTTTTTTTGTTTTTCTTTTTTGAAAATGTAAATAAAAATTGTTTTATTGATACTCATTATAAAAGCAAGATAATTTAATAGAAATACGATGTTGACAGAAGTAAATATTTGAACTGATTATACAAATTATTTAGTCTACTTTATTCATGAATATATTATGAATAGTTTCTGATATTGTTTGAACAAAGAGGCTGATAATCATTTACTCAAAATAAAGCATGGAATTTTTACGGAATATGATGGACAAATAAAAAATAAATATAATTTGTGTTGAAAACATGAAATAATTTTGATGAGCCATTTGCAACTTAAACAAATGTGCTAGTATTTTATGTGATTTATGACTTTCCCAAAAGTCATGGTGTAAGTTGCAAAAAGGTGATAAGCAGCTAATCAGTTAAATAAACACTGACCAGCCGAGAAAAAACTTGTCTTCGTTCGGTATGAGCTTCAATTGTGTTTTTTTGCGCTTTCACTGCGCTTTAACGGCGCTCAAACGGCGCTCTCGCTTCGCTCTTGTCTCGCTGAAATAGTAAAGCTCCGTAAAAGCGCCGTGCACATGCATTATAAGCGCACAATCTACGTACATGCGCCGTGTATAACCACAGCGTTTATTCGCACTTATCCGGAAAATTATATATAACAAAAATGATTAAGTTTGAATACAGCTGATTTCATGTATAATTAGTTTATAATACTTGGATATACTTATACTTAATATTGAACCCATGGATATACAAGTCAACATGTGATCCGTACATATTATGATCAGATATTCAGATTATTAAACAACGATGACATAATTGCAAATTAAGTAATATTAGAAACATCAAAAATATGCATTACATTGTTAATCTAGGTTCAATTGAAGATTTTTTATGAGTTTTATATTTGTAAGGATTCCATAATATATGTATAGGTAACTGTTCACTGAGGTGAAAATTAATAAAGGGTCATGTTAATAACTTAATAATTTTCCTTTTCTTTTTTATTGTGAAGTCTAAATATATACAATTCTTAAGAAGAATATTTTCCGCTAAAATGAAAAGTATGATTGTCATTTTCTTAAAGCAAGTTATGGTTTAATCTTCAGGTAGTACTGAAGAAAGGCAATAAATCCTTTTGGAGTGGAATTGTGACGTTGTTATTCGTTTATTGTTTAGTTGTAAAACAAAATTATAAACAGTTCATGGTAAGTAAACAGTTATTATTATTTGATTTTGTATGAATTTTTAATATCTTTATATGATTATTCTGTTGCTCAAGACACACTTAGAACAAATTCTAGGTAGCAATACAGAATTGTCATTTGCTTCAAAACAATTAATGCATGCAAGGTGTTTGATAGTTAGCTCAAGTACTTGTGCATAAATCCAAGGATTTCCATTTGAATGATTTATGACAGTTATAACCTGCAATAAAAAAGAAGTGTTTTTGTGTGTAGCCAGCTACTGGTTTCGACTACTATTCAGAAAATAATGGTGCATTTTTATCCAAACTTTACAGGAATGATCAATACTTTGTTTAGTTGTGCATCTCATCAACATTTTTAGATTTGATGATTACTGACAGAAAAATGTTCCTTTCTAAATTTGTCTAGACTACTCCTCTTATACCACTTATGCAATTTTAATAAAACTTTACATGATTGATCGTTACGTGTTTATATTACACAGGTTTTCAGGTTGTAAGATTAAAGCTGAATAATGGGCCTTGAATAAAAAAAGCGTTTTGACCAGTTAATGATGTTTGGGTCTCCTGCTACACCGTAGCTTTAACATGCGATTGGATATCATGAGGCGACACGTGTCACTGATGTCCCTTGTTACTTACTAAAATCTTGGATGGTAATATCCTTTCCATTATTTTCATTCATATTTGGAAGTTCTGCTGACATGAAGGGGTTTCTCCAACACATCTTGATGTATTGCGCGAAACCACCTGTAAATAGGTTGCGAAATCTTTTTGCAGCCATTAATCATAAGATGCATGCAAATAGACCACACATCGTCAATCAAAAGTCCAACATCTAATGCATCTCAATTTTACAAAATAACAAAAAGCCACAGATCTAAAATTATTTGCATGAACATAGCTTTACATAGTCTAATTTTGGCCTGACATTTTTCTTTGTTTATTTCAATGAAAATAGTTTTGTTCATCTGTTATTCGTAGAAACATATCAAGAGGCAAAACTGATGAAAATCTGTTATTAAAGTTGTGATCATTTTAATAGCTTTTTCTTTGTGCCTATAGATTCACAATATTTCTTTTTTTTCCATATGAATATAAATGGTTTGCCTCAATGAATCAAGTGATATCTTAAATGCATATTTTCATAGTGATTTAAAACTCCTGATCGTTTAATTAAATCAGATATTACATCTTGCAGAATATCAAGTATGGCTTTTCAAACAGAGATGTTATTTCCGATCCTTAAAGATCCTTCAGCACGACATTATTGTTGTGTTTGTGGTATTTTTACTATTTGGCATTTTCTAGTTGGGTGGTTCCAATATTCCTACTTGAATAATATTAAATTACCCTTAGGATATGTTGCCTGCTTTTTAACTTAGTCTTTTGACATCTTATCTGTGATATGAAGGCTTCATAACCTCTGACCCCCTTTCAAAATTCCATTTTGCTTACTTCCGCCCATTGTTTTCTCGTTTAGGGCACACGCTTTTCATTACTTGGGGACCATACGCCGCTTTTCATGGAATTTTCTGTGTCACAATGAAGGTTCCATGATAACCGCCATATGAACACATCTGCGGATGTTTCTAATTTCAAAATTATACCACAAACGACCTTTGATTATAAAATGTTTCTGTCAGGAACAATTTGGACACGTCCTTAGATATGTGGTTTGGGCATCCTCTAGTGAACCTCTACCAAGATTGTTCAGATAATGGATCCCGGGTCAATATTGACCCTACCCCAGGGGTCACTTTCTTTAAGTTTCAGTCATATTCCCAATTGAAAATAGTGTATTAATTACCCAATCCACAGGAAAAAATTCTCAATTGAAAGTTACGAAATATATACAAATGTATATTGAATAATTAAAAATCTTTGCAAATAAGGTCTTCTTCACTGTTATAGTGCTTAAATGTTTGAAGATGCAATCCTAGACAATGTTAGCAAGTTTGCCTTATAATTACGTAATTATGAATGGAAAGGATGAAGAAAACTACCAGATTTTAAACAAAGGCGATGATTATATAGACTATGAACAAGTATGTGACACATAAGACAAGATGTCAGAAAAACTTAATCATTACAATTAAATATAGCACCCTTACTGACTTTTTAAAGATAAAAATGACCATTTTTGACGAGCGTTTTTGTAGTATATCCAAAAGTTTTCCGACGAACTCCGTTACAGTACCACAAGAACTCCTGACAAATTATCATAAGACCTCGATCCTTCATGTAACAGTTCCTCCCCCGTGATAATGAAAGTCATAACAAATAAAAACATTACGGCTTAAATAAATGTAAACAAAGAGGCTGATAATCATTTACTCAAAATAAAGCATGGAATTTTTACGGAATATGATGGACAAATAAAAAATAAATATAATTTGTGTTGAAAACATGAAATAATTTTGATGAGCCATTTGCAACTTAAACAAATGTGCTAGTATTTTATGTGATTTGTGACTTTCCCAAAAGTCATGGTGTAAGTTGCAAAAAGGTGATAAGCAGCTAATCAGTTAAATAAACACTGACCAGCCGAGAAAAAACTTGTCTTCGTTCGGTATGAGCTTCAATTGTGTTTTTTTGCGCTTTCACTGCGCTTTAACGGCGCTCAAACGGCGCTCTCGCTTCGCTCTTGTCTCGCTGAAATAGTAAAGCTCCGTAAAAGCGCCGTGCACATGCATTATAAGCGCACAATCTACGTACATGCGCCGTGTATAAACACAGCGTTTATTCGCACTTATCCGGAAAATTATATATAACAAAAATGATTAAGTTTGAATACAGCTGATTTCATGTATAATTAGTTTATAATACTTGGATATACTTATACTTAATATTGAACCCATGGATATACAAGTCAACATGTGATCCGTACATATTATGATCAGATATTCAGATTATTAAACAACGATGACATAATTGCAAATTAAGTAATATTAGAAAACATCAAAAATATGCATTACATTGTTAATCTAGGTTCAATTGAAGATTTTTTATGAGTTTTATATTTGTAAGGATTCCATAAATATATGTATAGGTAACTGTTCACTGAGGTGAAAATTAATAAAGGGTCATGTTAATAACTTAATAATTTTCCTTTTCTTTTTTATTGTGAAGTCTAAATATATACAATTCTTAAGAAGAATATTTTCCGCTAAAATGAAAAGTATGATTGTCATTTTCTTAAAGCAAGTTATGGTTTAATCTTCAGGTAGTACTGAAGAAAGGCAATAAATCCTTTTGGAGTGGAATTGTGACGTTGTTATTCGTTTATTGTTTAGTTGTAAAACAAAATTATAAACAGTTCATGGTAAGTAAACAGTTATTATTATTTGATTTTGTATGAATTTTTAATATCTTTATATGATTATTCTGTTGCTCAAGACACACTTAGAACAAATTCTAGGTAGCAATACAGAATTGTCATTTGCTTCAAAACAATTAATGCATGCAAGGTGTTTGATAGTTAGCTCAAGTACTTGTGCATAAATCCAAGGATTTCCATTTGAATGATTTATGACAGTTATAACCTGCAATAAAAAAGAAGTGTTTTTGTGTGTAGCCAGCTACTGGTTTCGACTACTATTCAGAAAATAATGGTGCATTTTTATCCAAACTTTACAGGAATGATCAATACTTTGTTTAGTTGTGCATCTCATCAACATTTTTAGATTTGATGATTACTGACAGAAAAATGTTCCTTTCTAAATTTGTCTAGACTACTCCTCTTATACCACTTATGCAATTTTAATAAAACTTTACATGATTGATCGTTACGTGTTTATATTACACAGGTTTTCAGGTTGTAAGATTAAAGCTGAAAAATGGGCCTTGAATAAAAAAAGCGTTTTGACCAGTTAATGATGTTTGGGTCTCCTGCTACACCGTAGCTTTAACATGCGATTGGATATCATGAGGCGACACGTGTCACTGATGTCCCTTGTTACTTACTAAAATCTTGGATGGTAATATCCTTTCCATTATTTTCATTCATATTTGAAAGTTCTGCTGACATGAAGGGATTTCTCCAACACATCTTGATGTATTGCGCGAAACCACCTGTAAATAGGTTGTGAAATCTTTTTGCAGCCATTAATCATAAGATGCATGCAAATAGACCACACATCGTCAATCAAAAGTCCAACATCTAATGCATCTCAATTTTACAAAATAACAAAAAGCCACAGATCTAAAATTATTTACATGAACATAGCTTTACATAGTCTAATTTTGGCCTGACATTTTTCTTTGTTTATTTCAATGAAAATAGTTTTGTTCATCTGTTATTCGTAGAAACATATCAAGAGGCAAAACTGATGAAAATCTGTTATTAAAGTTGTGATCATTTTAATAGCTTTTTCTTTGTGCCTATAGATTCACAATATTTCTTTTTTTTCCATATGAATATAAATGGTTTGCCTCAATGAATCAAGTGATATCTTAAATGCATATTTTCATAGTGATTTAAAACTCCTGATCGTTTAATTAAATCAGATATTACATCTTGCAGAATATCAAGTATGGCTTTTCAAACAGAGATGTTATTTCCGATCCTTAAAGATCCTTCAGCACGACATTATTGTTGTGTTTGTGGTATTTTTACTATTTGGCATTTTCTAGTTGGGTGGTTCCAATATTCCTACTTGAATAATATTAAATTACCCTTAGGATATGTTGCCTGCTTTTTAACTTAGTCTTTTGACATCTTATCTGTGATATGAAGGCTTCATAACCTCTGACCCCCTTTCAAAATTCCATTTTGCTTACTTCCGCCCATTGTTTTCTCGTTTAGGGCACACGCTTTTCATTACTTGGGGACCATACGCCGCTTTTCATGGAATTTTCTGTGTCACAATGAAGGTTCCATGATAACCGCCATATGAACACATCTGCGGATGTTTCTAATTTCAAATTATACCACAAAACGACCTTTGATTATAAAATGTTTCTGTCAGGAACAATTTGGACACGTCCTTAGATATGTGGTTTGGGCATCCTCTAGTGAACCTCTACCAAGATTGTTCAGATAATGGATCCCGGGTCAATATTGACCCTACCCCAGGGGTCACTTTCTTTAAGGTTCAGTCATATTCCCAATTGAAAATAGTGTATTAATTACCCAATCCACAGGAAAAAATTCTCAATTGAAAGTTACGAAATATATACAAATGTATATTGAATAATTAAAAATCTTTGCAAATAAGGTCTTCTTCACTGTTATAGTGCTTAAATGTTTGAAGATGCAATCCTAGACAATGATTGTTTGCTTTCATTTATTCACTGCAAAATTTCAGTCATGCATTTGTTCCCAATTTTTAACAAAATATCACTGAAATTCCCAATACCATGAGTATGGGTCAAGTTCTTTAAGTCCTAGGAAAAAACCATGTGATTATAGTAAATCTTTTGTTTGTATTTTGGTGTACAATTTTAAAGCCATTTCAGGACAAACCTTTGGCTTTTTTCGTCCTTTTCAATCCCTTGTTCATTTGTATTCTTTGTTATAAGTGTGTGTCATGTAAAGAAATGTACAAAATAAATGTTTAAGCTAAAGAATGGACCATTTGCACATTTCTCGATGCAGAATTGGACATTGATATCAGCTGGCAAAGACATTGCTTTTATTCCTTCACACCATTTTATTCTGTTCTCAGGTGAGAGACCTGTGGTCAATGACCACCTTGTTTGTTCAAACTTAATGAAAATAGCTTCAATCAAACCTCAAACGTGTTTAAATCTGGGTTTCTTATGACCAGGTTAAATTATAGAGAAACCTTGTTCACAAATAAGAGACTGCTGTTTAAGCTTACCGGAACATGCAGCTTGTTTCCCTATATGTATAGTGTAAACTTAAAAAAATCTTCTTTGAAACTTTGAAAAAAAAATTGGTTGTTATTAGATATTGTTCATATATCATCATCAAGTGAATCTTGACTTATATTTCGTAGATTTCTGCCCATTGTCTCACAGAGGCCATTATGTCAGGTGGGCTGTAAGCTTGTTATTATCATTATAAATTGAAATCTAGAAAGTTACACAAATAGTGGTGTAAACATTGATGTACATTGGTTGTCCCCCGCCTTTTCGAAGAAAAAAGAGGGATATAAAAATAGGCTCTGTCCGTCCGCCTGTCTATCCGAGCGAAGATCCAATGGTCTTTGAGCTTCATTCCATCCTGAATTTTAGTTAAAAAAGAAGGAAATCACATAAACCGACATAAACACATACACCGACTGGTTTATGTGGTAATTTTACTAGTGTATGGGGAAAAATGCCACATAAAGATCAAAGAAAAAGCACATGAACCCCAATTGTTGGCACGTCCGTACGGCCGTCTTTCTGTCCGTCCGCCTGTCACACTTTCGTGTCTGGTCCATAACTTTGTCATTTATCAAAGGTATTTGAAATAACTTGGCACAAATGTTTGTTATAATAAGATGATGTGCCATGCGCAACAACCAGACCCCTGCATCCAGGGTCAAGGTCGTACCTGCTCATTCAAGGTCAACATTGTCTATTTGAGGGTATATGTCGTGTCCGTCTAATAACTTTCTTGATTTTGCAGGGATTTTGAAAATACTTGCCACAATTGTTCACAATAATGAGACAATGTGTCATGCGCAACAACTGGTCACCTACCTCCAAGGTCAAGGTCACACTTGGAGGTCAAAAATTAACAAAGTCTGTTATATGGTATATTTTGTGTCCGGCCAATAAGGCCCCCACGGTTACTCGTTTAAACGGATCCGTTTTGATTTTCATTCGTAAACGATTACGAAATGTTTTACCGTTTAATCGAAATGACCATATTGTCTTACAAAATATATTAATCATTACCTGTATTAATCATGAATTCTATTAAATGGGTGGTTACAAATCTCTAGACAGTATCACCGTTCAATAAACACTCGTGATATAATACATTCTTGGTAAAGTTGATTTACTTTTGTTGCTCAAAAAGCAAAATGGGAATACAATGTAGAAAATGTGTGCAAACTCAATCGTGATGAGCCATGAACATTATTTATTTGTACATGTATTAAAAATATAAAGTAAGTCATCATTTGGCGGCTTGAATACATGGTGTAGTATAGTACATAAGAGTACCACCGTTTAAACGGTATCGTTTCGGTTCTTAACAATCGTGTAAACGTTTACAAAAAATTGTAAACGTGGGAGCCTTACCGGCCAATAACTTTTTCATAGATCAAGGGATATTTTTAATGATGTGTCATGCCCAACACCTGCATCCCTTCCTACAAGGTCAATGTCAAAAGTGAACATAGTCTGTTATAGGGTAAGGTTTGTATCCCATCTAGAACAAACTTCTTCATAGTGCAAGGGATTTTGAAATTACTTGGCACAAAAAGTCACAAAAATAAGGCAATATGTCAAATACAACACCTGCACCCCTACCTCCAAGGTCATGGTCACAATTAGAGGTCAAAGGTTAACAGAGTATGTTATATGGTATATTTTGTGTTCCGTCCATATCTTCTTCATAGATCAAGATATTTTATGGAAAGTATTTTGCACTAAAAGTCACAATGATAAGATAATATGTCATGTGTAACATCTGTGTCCCTACCTCCAAGATCAAGGTCACACTTAGAGCTCAAAGATTTACATAGTCTGTCAAAGGGTATATTTTGTGGCCATTCCATAATTTTTTCACAGATCAAGGGATTTTAAAATTGGTTTGCACAAATAATCACATTAATAAGACAACATCTCAGGCGCAAAACATTGGTCCTTACCTTCAATGTCACACTGAGAGGTCAAAGATTAACATAGTCTGTTATATGGTGTATTTTGTGTCAGATATATAACGTCTTCATAGTTATAGGGATTTTGAAAATACTTGGCGCAAATAGTTACAATAATAAGACGATATGTCATGCACACACTTTAAGGTCAAAGCTTAGCATGATAGATTTTTGCATTTGCAAACCTAACATTGATCATAATTTTGGACTGAAAGTCCTGAGATCCATACCTCAATCTTTTGAAATAGCACAATTTTATGCTTCATATAAAACTTCCCTAAGGTGGGGGACGTTGGTAACTCTGTTACAAATTCTTGTTAATTCTGTAAAAATATTAGAAGCTTGATATTATGTCTTAAATTTTAAAATTTGTTAAGTGTATTTTTTATGTGATTTTTGTTTTTCATTTATATCTTCAAAGTTACCATAATCATTGAATCATTCAAAATTTTTACCTTTTCTCTGAGTATTATTTTAGCACAAACTAGCTATAATGATGTAAAAATGCTAATCGTTTTAATTCTCTCATGTACTTCTTATTATATGCAGACAAAGTGATTCTTATAATTTTATGTCAGTACTGATTTAATAGATCAAAAGTGTACTATATTTCCATTGAAAAAAGACTGAAGTGTCTGGTGACAAAATACCAGTGTATTTATCAACTTAAGTAATAACCTCAGGTTACCTAAAGCGTATTTTTATTTTATTTCTTATCTAAATGAATAAAGAATTATTTTGAAGACATGGAGCATAGGAAAATAAACTAAACTGTTTTCCTATGTATACAGCATTATGCTCTTGATTTATAAAAAAGCTTTATTTTCCTTTGATACCTCAATACTAAGTGCTTGCATACTTATTTTCATATTGAATTTGATAGACAATATGATTTTGACAAAGTTCAATTTATGTTATAAATTGATACTTTGCATAATTTTATCAAAATGCTCACTAAAGACCGTTTACTTTGATAAATAATAATTTGAGTATGTTTATGATACATATATTTTAACTAATATTTTTTGAAAATGAAATTTCCTTTTTTAAACAACTTATAAACATTTTATTAGAAAGGGATGAGAGGGAATTCGAAATACTTCAGTCTTTGTTCAAATACAGGAAAGATGCATATTTTGTACACTCAACCCATAATACTTGTATTATACATATATGGTTTATCTTCATTTATATAATTT